CTGCTGCTGCTGCTGTTGCTGACCCTGCTGCTGCAGCTCCTACTGCTGCTGCTACTGCTGCTGCTGTTGCTACCACTGCTGCTGCTGCTGACCCTGCTGCTGTTGCTGCCCCCGCTGCTGCTGCTTTCGCTTTTGCTGCTGTCCTAGCTCCTGTTCCTGTCGATGCAACAACTGATGCTGCCGTTGCTGCTGGTTCTGCTGCTGCTGCTGTTTCTGCTGCTGGTGCTGCAACTCGAGCCTTGTTATATGTTTTCTTCTTCTTATCTCATTACAGACTGTAGTTGTTTGCTTTTTGGGGTGTATTTGTTTAGGGTTTAGGGTTTAGGGTTTAGGGTTTAGGCTGTCTTCGTTGCTGGTTGTTGTATCTCTTTGTTTATTTGTTTTGTAGTGCCCGCGTCGGTTTGCGTAGTGTTTATATTGTAAATATTATATTCATTTCTTTCTTTGTTTCCCCCTCCCTGCTGCTGTTGCTTCTTAATAAAGATCAGCAACAACAGCAGCAGCAACAGGAGCAACAACAGCAACAGCAGCAGCAACAGGAGCAGCAGCAGCAGCATTGTTCTATTTGCTGTAGGTTTGCTGCTGCAAGTGCTGCAGGTATCGGTGACGTCTAGCAACGGCTATGTAAGCAGACAGCACTGCTTATTATACTACGATGGACGAGAGGGGGCCCCCAGCAGCAGCTGCTGGAAGCTAAGAGATATCAGCACGCTGGGAACCTTCATTCGTCTGAAGCCCCTGACGCCTTTTCCTTGTTCTCTGCAGCCCTACTCTATTTTTAAAGTAGGCCAATGCAAATTGCAAGTCACCCCTTGCTCTGATCTCCACCAGCAAACGCACTCTGCCCCCTCCTCTTCTATCGACATCCCTATAGGGGCCCCTACAGGGGTCCCTATAGGGGCCCCCACAAGGGCCTCCACAGGGGCCCCCACAGGGGCCCCCACAGGGGCGCATGCAGTGGCCCCCACAGGGGCGCATGCAGTGGCCCCCACAGGGGCGCATGCAGTGGCCCCCACAGGGGCACATGCAGGGGCCCCCTCAGGGGCCCCCTCAGGGGCCCCCGCAGGGGCCCCCATACGGGCCATACTACTGGCATCCCCAGGGGCCCCAGTAAGGGGACCCCCAGCGGCACTACTAGGGGCTCCCGTAGGGGCCCCCTTAGTACACTCTCTAGGAGAGCCGTTAGGGTCTTCTGTAGTAGGGGCCCCCTTTGGACCCGCTGTAAGGGCCCCCATAAGACCATCTCTAGGGGCCTCGCATGGGGTACAAGTAGGGGGGCCCCCCGTGGGGCCCCCCTTCCCTGCTGCCGGTGTATTCCCTGCTGCTACGTCGCTGCAGGCGATTGCAATGGAGCTGCAAGGCCAAGGGCTTCTGCGAGTTGCGGGGGCCCCTGAGGTGCGGCACTCACTATTGATGGGGGGAGTAGAGGCTGGAGGGGCCCCCCAATACCCTTTGGGGCTGCATGCAGAGCCAGAGGCCCCGGGCCCCCGTCTCTTTACAAGCTTCCCTGTGTTTGCGCCCTTGGGGAGGCCCTCGGGGGCCCCCCTACAATCGACGCTGCAGCAGCAGCAGCAGCAACCGCTACACGGTATGAAGAGGGACCCCCTGGCTTGCATGCTTTGATACTACAGCAGCAGCGCAGCAACACACAAACAAACAGTTGGGTGCTACAGAGCAGAGCTGCTGTTTTCTAGCAGACAGCACATAACTAAGATGCATGCATGCATGCATCGTTGTATGTGTTTATGTGCATTTGTTTTGGGGCCTCGTGTGGGGCGCAGCGCCTTAGGGGTTGTCTTGTTGTTTCTCTCTGCTGTGCTGCTGCGCTGCAGCAGCAGACGTGCTGCAGTGGGGGCTGCTGCCCCCAGAGGAGGCCCTGCTGCAGCACCCTCCAGTAATAAGCTGTGCTCATCCTTCCGCGTATGAAGACGGCACCTTAGAAGAAGAGGAGCAGCAGGGGGAGCGGGGGGGCCCACAGCAGCATGCAGCAGCAGCAGCAGCAGCAGCAGCAGCAGCAGCAGCAGCGGCAGCCTGGCAGGCCAGTGCTCCTCAGCAGCAACACCAGCATTCTTCCTCGCTGCTGCATCCATTGCATTCCCACTTGCAGCAGCAGCTGCAGCTGCAGCAACTGCAGCAGCAGCAGCAGCTCCAGCTACTGCAGCACCAGTTGAGTGGGGGCCCCCCTGGACCCCTTGGGCCCCCAACAGGGGGCCCCCCAGACAGCCCCTTTGATATATTTCAATTACCAGGCCTCCGGCTGCTCGATGGAAGCCCCGGGGGCCCCGAGGGCCTCTCCTTTAGTGCGAGCGCGGGGGTACAGCAGGAGCGCTGCATGTGCTTGGCGCCTCTCCCTGCAGCATCTGAACGCAGTGCTGCTGTTGCTGCTGCTGCTGCTGCTGCTGTGTCGCTTGATACCGTGGGCAGACTCGTCCATTGTCTCACAACAGCCCAACAGCAGCAGCAGCAGCAACAGGCGTCTGCACTGGATGTGCTGCAGCAAGACGCGTACTGGGCCCCTTCTCTCCCTGCTGATCCTGCAGCACTTAACAGCAGCAGAACAAACAATGCACAGCGTCATAGGTGGAGACGGAGCCGCCATGCTGCAGCAGGGCGCATGCATGCAGGGGCCCCCAGTAGACGTTTAGATTGGCCTTTGGGGCCCCTAGAGGTGCTGACAACGCAGCAGGGTATCTGCAGCAGCGGTAGCACGCGCTGCAGCACTCGCTGCGGCTGTCTCGCCTCCTTTCAGCAGCAAACCGGAGGCTTCGGGGCGGTTGAGGGTAGCGGCAGCAGCTTAGCTGCAGGCACAGGCGGTGTACGCGCAGCAACAGAAGGCTGGACACAGCTAGAGGAGCAGCAGGAGGCCTTCTGCAGCAGCAGCGGTGCAGCTGGCTGCTTAGGGGGAGGGCTCTAGAAAGGCTTGAACAAATAAACATAATCTGCAGTGTTCAGACAGCCCAAGGCGCATGCAGGGGTGCTCCTGCATGCATGCAGCGTTTACGACATTTCGCTGCATTTGGGGGAAACATACTGCATGCAGAAGCCCCTAAATAAAGCCTGAAAAAGGGTTTATTTAGAGTCCTAGCTATTAAACTAAGAGCCTGTGGAAGGGCCCCTAGGGGCCCTTTAATAGTTTCTTAGTTTAATATTAACAAACAGTGCGGGTCTGAAGGGAGTTCTGCTGCTGTGTTTTTATATAACAGCCGACAAACGTCTTGAAGAGCGCAGGTGTTGTTGTTTATTTGTCTTCTGCATTTGTTTGCTTGTTTTTTAGGCTTTGTCTGCTGCGGTTTGCTTATTTGTGAAGGTTGGCTTGTAGCTCGCGTCTGTCAGGGATATAGAGGGGTATATTATTTATACTAGATGTATATCTTATATGCATTCTCTACAGTTTGTATATTATATATATATATATTATATATAATATATATTATAGAGAGGGGCGCAAGAGGTTTGAACCTATTTGCTCGGCGCTTGCAGCCCTCAGCGCCTTCACTAAGACAACAAACTTTTTCTTGTATTTGCATCTATTTTTTAAAGGCCTCCTTGTTTTCTTCTTTGTCTGCACTTTCAGTTGGCTGTCTCTTTAGTAAGAAGTAAAAACGTAAGTTGCAATGCTGCTCGCACTTGAAGCTTATTATTATTATTACTGTTATTTTTGTTACTACTACTGCTATTATTATTATTATTGCTGTTATTACTACTACTGTTATTTTTATTATTACTGTTATTTTTATTATTACTGTCGCTACTACTATTATTGCCACTATTATTTATTATCATTATTATTATTATTATTAATTATTATTATTACTATTAATTATTATTATTATTAAATATAGAGTGGCATCTACATATGCTGAAGGTCTGTGTGTTGCAGCTCAGGCTTTCTTCTTTTATTCTGTTGTTTCTGTTTGCGTTGGCAGCGGTTAAGGTTGATTCTTTTAATTGTCTCTGTTGATTCTTTTCATTGTCTCTGTTTGTCTACTCACCCGCCCCTCTCGCCTCTAATAAACTCAAGCAGAAGCAGAAGCGTCTGTCTATTTCGTAAGGCCCGACTTCTGCTTTAAGCAGCTAATGAAACTCGCAAAGGAAGTAAAGATGCAAAGACGCAATGAACTACTTTCTTTTGAGAGAGCTGCATTTTTGTTGTTTGTTTGTTTATTGGAGGCCTTCGCTGAAGATTCTCTCTGCTTCTTGATGGAGCTTTCTTAATGAATATCTCAGGCGGTTGATCTCGTTGTAGAAGCGGTCTTCTTTGCCTTTTTCGTTTGCAAGTTTCATTAGCTGCTGAAAGCGTAAGAGGGGCCCCATGAAGTCTAAAGGCTTTTCTTCTTCTTTTTCTTCATCTTCTTCTTCTTTCTTGTGTGTTAAACCAATTGAAACAGCTGCTAGTGCCCTGACTCGGCGCAGCATCCTCTCTACTTCTTTTTGCAGGCTGGAGGAAGCGTTAAGGTAGTTGCATGCAGCATAATATGAATATAAAAGAAAGGGTTTTGTCTTAGTCTTTATATGTACCTCTCTATGCCTCCTCGGATCTTATTGTTGGCGTCTAAGCCTTCTCTTGCTTTCTCTGCTGCTTGTTGAAATCGATGTGCGTGATAGCTGTCAGTAATTTTGCTGTTATTTCATGGATATGTTTATCAAGAAGGGGCTGCTTATATACCGAAGCTTATCTCTTGTCTTTCCTAAGTCGGAGTGCAGATATTGAAGGTGAGGGAGTACTGTCTCAACTTCAAACGCCAGTTGCATTGCCTAAAGAATTAATTTACATAAGACCTCAATTAAATATTTAAGTGCTTTAGATAATACTAATTAGTTTTAAAGTCTCTTACTTCCGACAAAGATGTGCGTGGCTGCTGCTGCTCTTGAGGCCGCCGCCGTCGGTATAAAGAAGAAGCAGCAGCAGAATCAGCAGCATCAGCATCAGCAGCATCATCAGCATCAGCAGCATCATCAGCATCAGCATCAGCAGCATCAGCAGCAGCAGAATCAGCAGCAGCAGTATCAGCAGCAGCAGCATATTTCAGCAGGGAGTCCTCGATGCTTTGCAGCCGATTAGAAACGCGTGCAGCATCCACTTTCTGCAGTATATTGTTGCATGCGGCCCTCAAGGTGAGCAGTTATCTGGTTCTTTTGCTGTTCTTGTCTCCGTCTTTACCTGCAGCTTCTTTGCTACGTCCTGCAGCAGCATGCAGTTATTAAATTGTTTTATTCAAATAGCTGTTGTCTGTTTACTCAGTACCTTCTCCGCATACTTGGCTAGCGCAGATAGCCGACGCGCCTCTCCCGCAGCAGAAGGCCTAGAGATGTCTTGCTTCGCTTGCTGCACCTTCTGCAGCAGAGAAGATGCTGCTGCAAGAACGTTTTGCTGCACTTCGCTCCATGTCTGAGAGAAGGAAGACAGTGCGTCTGCTTTTGCTGCTGAGGGGTCTGGCGCATGCAACTCTCTCAGGCCTTCTGAAATGCTAAAGAGAGCTTCGGAGTGCGGAATGAAGTGATATATAATAAAGCGCTCAGCCACTCTGTGGCCAATAGAACGGCTAGGCGGCTGTTCTTCTTTAAGAGCTGAAAAGTTTAAACAACTCTTGCATTATTTATCCTTGTTGAAACAACAATAATTATCTGCATTGCAAGTACCGGCGGATTCACGTGCTGCTATTGACAACGCCTTCGTTAGGTTCAGCCCTGGCAGCTCGGGGCAGGCACCTGGCCGTAAGGGGAGCAACTGGGCCGCCTGTGCACTGAGCTGCAGTTGTTGAGTAATATTCAGATGCAGATAAAGATGCAGTACAGGGAGGAGGAGCGGAGAGGAGAAGAAATAAGCAGATGCGTGGTGTGGTGTCTACCTGGGCAACAGACTTGTGCACATTTTCAGCGCTTTCCTTTAAAAGTGCAGCATGCTCCTCTTCTGCCTTTGCATGCGTTGCTGGCTTTGCAATGATAAGCACAATCTGAAGAAAGCAGACATGAATTATTATGGAGAACGCAATGCATGTCGCACTGAAGATCATTCATTTCCTCACATCTTTAATGAGCGGTTTCAGCTGAGTTGAACGCTGACGCAGCGCCTGCACGGCCTGGAGCACCTCTTGCTCCTCACGAGCTGCGCGAAGAAGGCAGGGAGTTGCTTCATCGATTAAATTGATTTGTTGTGCTAATCGGGTGAGCGGTGAGACGGCTGGATGGCCCAGAAGCCGGTAGATCGCAGATTCGTTGTTTGTGTGTATGCGGTAAGCAGACGCGAAGCTGCAGCACTTTTGCAGCAAAACTGTTGCAACTAACAAGACCACTTTCATCATAGACTGGTTATTTAATAAAGGCATTACATTGCGAAAGCGGCGACAGGTCCTAAAACAAACGCTTTCTGTGAGTATTCTGCAGCTTTCCATCTTGAGTGCTTGCACGTTGCGTGCGTACACCTCAACATCTCGGCGAGGCATTCATTCTTCCCTATGGGGAAAACCCCCGATTATTTGAACTAACTGCACCCTAATTGGAAGGGAATTATATTATTCATAACCTTAACCGTGTAAATGACAGTAATAATCATGAAACGCATGGTGGTGCTGCAAGAAAGAGCTTTTCACTTAGGCGGGCGCTGTGTGTGCAGCGCCTTCGCCGTTAAAAGAAAAATATTCAGTTTGTTTTTCTTTGTTGATCTGGTCGTTCATTGACAGAGCAATGGAATGAGCTGAAGATTCAGAGTAGCGGCAGCAGCTGCTGCTGATATTGTCTGACCCCTGGTTCTGCACCGCACAGTCGCTGCTTTCTGTCTGCTCTGCTGCGGCTGGAGCGAGTTCATATCCTGGGAGCTGAAGGCACTGCTGCTGCTCTTCTGGAGCTGCTAGCGGTGTTTCCGCTGCAGAAGCCTCTCCGTCGTGCTGCTGCTGCTGCACGTTTTCTGTCTGCTGTTGGCAGTGCAGGAAAGCTTCATTTTGCATGGCTGCAGCATCCCAGCTCTGCTGCTGCGGAGTACACGCAGAGGTGCAGAAGGCTTCCTGATAAGCGTATGCAGCAGCTTCTGCAGAGCAATAGGCGTACGCGTTTGCTGCTGACTGCCAGCTCTGCCAGTCACAAGGAGAAACTCCGTAAGCATAGACCCCTTGCCCATGGCCTGCGTGCCACTGCTGGGGAGCGAAGTGATACAACTCGTACGAGGGGGGAAAGCAGCACCTGAGCAGCAGCAACAGCAGCAGCAGCAGCAACAGCAGCACCATGCATGCAGCAGCAGCAACAGCAGCACCATGCATGCAGCAGCAGCAACAGCAGCACCATGCATGAAGCAGCAGCAACAGCAGCACCATGCATGCAGCAGCAAGAGCAACAGCATCAGCAGCAGCAGCAATAACAGCAGCAGAAGCAGCAGCAATAACAGCAGTAGAAGCAGCAGCAATGACAGCAGCAGAAGCAGCAGCAATAACAGCAGCAGCAGCAGCAGCAATAACAGCAGCAGCAGCAGCAGCAATTCACAAGAAGCTACACAAGAACAGCAAAACA